AACTTTGCAACTACATGTCAACTAGCAGTCAGTAGAGTATTAGTAGACTGTCTACTCTGGACTATCGAAATAAAGTGTAACCAAACAATTTTATAAACTGGCCATTATGCCAGTGATTAAAAATTGAGCAATAACAAAGAATTTATTTAAATTACAGCTTGCTCTCACTCCCAAGGCATCAAAAACTGAAGCACGGTCAGTTCTGTTAGTATCAGGCTATGTAGACATCGCTATATCAATGAACTGGGAAATTCCTTCTTTTAATAGACCTTAATCAGGTTAGATTCCATATTGCATTTAACGTGGATGAAAACGAGCCTGAGGGACAGACTTACAGACTTTACAATGGCACGCACTGAATAAAGGTAATTTTCACAACAACTTTCAAAACTGTTTAATGAAGGGTTTTTTCTCTTCTTTTGACGTTTTGTCAACTGAACAGTCGGTGTGTTGTTAAACTATAGCACAATCCATTGAACGCACTGTACTTCTGTCCGTCACAGCCTCGTTTTCATTCCTGTCAAAAATTAAACAACGCCTTACCCTATTACGCCTATTGCTTGCCTTATGTGTTTCTTATCTTTATAACTGGCTAATAAATATAAGTCTAAAATTAGATTTATATCTTTATACTTTCATAAACATTTTTGACCACTACCTTAAACCCGACCATTTCTCAACAACAGATAAAAGTGCAGTCACAGTAATGTATTATTGTGTCACGATCCCTGCCTGTGTTTTCTGTGTCTGTGTCATGGACTCTTATTTTGTAGTTCTGTGTTTACTTTGTTGCTTGTTCTCTTCCTGTTTTTCCATGGTTACTCATTAGTTCATTGGTTCTGCTCTGCTTATGTAGTTTCTCTTGTGTTTTGTCAGTTGTTTGATGTTATGGTTCACATGGTTCGTGCCCCCAGTGTCTGTGTTTGCAGTATTGCTTCAGTCAATAAATTCCTGCATTTAGATCCTCATCCCTGCTTGCATTGTCAGCGAGCGTGATATATTTCAGATATCTGTACATTTCAGACAGACAGAGTTCAGACCTCTGTAATTATGATGTGTTGTTACATGATCTAAATCAGATCATTCCAGCACAACTTACCAAAAATAAATGAATTGAGTTGTATATGTAGATATATTTCAAAATTATTACAATGGTTATTGCAAAAACATTTATGCACAAAGAATCCAACAACATGCATGAACTTGATATTAGAGTTTTCTACATGTGCTGTTGATCTTAAAAGCTGTGGTCATGGTTAACATTGCAGTGTTTTATTTCTACAGGTGCCGATGACATAGTTGCCATCATGGTTGGCAATATTCTGGGCAAAGAAATGGCTAACCTGGTAAAGAATGGCTCAGATGTGTATGTGGAGATCGTAGTGGCCAATCCTCACGGCCTGTGGTACAGCTCTACATGGGCATATGCGCTGTCCTTCACCTTCATTGGGATATCAACCATCACTATGTTCGTCTTCGCTTTCCTGTTCATCAAACGAATGTACAGAAACCAGCAGCTCCGTATGCAAGAGGTACAATGTCCAGCCACTCTGAGTCGAGTTCAGAGTCAAATATACTTCAGAGATCTCTCTTTTCAATGCTCGTTCTGTTGTGTCACCCGTTTCTGTGCAGAGGGAGATGAAGAAAGAGAATGAAAAAGCAATAGCAAAGTTAGAAGTGCGGACTCTGCGGACGGGCGACCCGGTACTGAGCCCGATTGCTGAAGCAGGAATAAACGACTGTGTTCAGTAATTGTGTATTTGAGTTTATGTCTGTGTGTTTGTAGGAGGTTGAATCAGAGGAGGTGAGCTGTGTCGTGTGCACCGACCCATTCAAACACAACGAACATGTCACAGTTTTACCCTGCAGGTGCAGTATGAGGATTTTACTGCAACATCACACACATTTCATAACATCAGCGTCAGTCTAGCAATGGCATTTCCATGCATTTGGACGGTTTTCATATTGTAATTTGCTTTTGTCAGAGCATTAGATATCATATCAAGCAGAATGAAAGGTGTGTGTTTTGTGCCACACATAAGGCATATCATTAGAGTTTATTGGTGACACTTTACGATTAGGTTCCATTTGTTAACATGAATTAAAAAAAAGTTTTAAAAATATACTGGTCTATTTTCACATTATTAAAATCAAAAGTTGCATATATTAATATTAGTTGAGCTGACATGAACTAACAGTGAATAAATTTATTTTTATTAACTAACATTAAGCAAGATTAGTAAATACTCTAACAAACATAGTACTTACATTTTGTTTAGTATTAGTTAATTGTTGTTTTTTTTAAATATTGAAATTCATCCTGCCTGAGAAAGTAGAATATGGCATTTCAAAAATACACACTGCACTAGAATTTTTGTTTTGTTTTGTAAATATGAATTAAATATGAACTAACCTGAAGTGCATTCTGTTTCCCAGACATTTATACCATAAGAAGTGCATTGAGCCGTGGCTGCTGGAACACCCCACCTGCCCCATGTGTAAATACCACATCCTCAAATACAAGGTGAGACCGGCAAACCAGCAGAGCCATCTTCATTTAGACGTGTGGATGGAGGGGGATTTACTGTTTGTTGCTGTATGTGTTTAGATTGATGAGGAGAGTGATGAGCCTTCATCATCATCATCATCATCATCAGGTGACACGTTCTGTCTAGCTGTGATCAGGACAGAGCAGCTCCACACATCAAACAGCCAAACCGCAGAGAGTGAGTCAACATCTTTACCCTTATCTCTTTTATACTGTGTTCCTCTGTGATGATTATCTGATCATGAACAACAAAACATCTGTAATTGCAATGTTTTATTTTACATCGTTGTACATGATTCACCAGTGACTGTTTTGTTGTTGTTGTTGTTGGGAACCTACTGACTTTATTTTCCTCTATGCTTGACATCACAGGTTAAAAAGCAAACAAAGAATTAATACATAATAATTAGTGAGACATTTGTCTAGCAAATTCTTACATAAAAACGTAAGTAAATGTTTTACTAATAAACTTTCTATTAGTTCAGTGTGTGGACATCTATACGTTTTTCCCTATAAAAACTTTAACTAAACCAATAATAAAAAAAAATAATAATATATACAGTATATATATATATATATATATATATATATATATATACAGGCGTATCTC